TTTTAATTATTAAGTTCCAGAGAAAAGTCGATGTACTGTTACTGATGTGATAGAAGCAAGATTGCGACACCCAACGTCATAAGAAAAGGACTATATGTAATATTATTAAAAAAAAAACCTCCTCGTATTTAGTTTGTGATCTTTCGAACCTATTCACTATTGTGTTAAAGGCACCCCAAATAAGTAATCCTATCTAATCTAACCTCAATTTTTATAATTTTTGGGTTATAGTTCAATCTCTATTCGTCCACAATTAATACTGAACCAGTTTAGCAGTTTTTTGGAAGGTTTAAGAGGTTACATCCCTTGTAAGTTAGAAAAATGCCTGTTTTTGAAAATTTTGAAAAAATCTTACTGCTACGATCATTACCTTACAAAAATGTATAACTGAGAAAATCGTGTGAAAATTTCAAGCCGATCGGTTCTGCCGTTTCGAAACGTTTTCCTCAGCCATTCTGAAAACAGAGTTTCGAGAAAAATGCTGTTAAAATTTTCGAAGCCGAATACAAACACGCTCATATCTCCGAAACTATTTTCCGACTTTCGGCTTTTTGAAATTCACATTCACATGGTTTGGCCGTTTGTTCTGACTAACTACTTCTTCTTCTTGAACGCTTTACCAGAATTATTTAGTACTAAGTGAATAGACAAATGGTTCTAGCATCGACCTAACTAGATGTTGGTCAAATAGAAGTTCTGTATTAAACACAACTTTCGTTAGGTCACTCTAAAATATTGAGCTAATAGTTCAAGGACTAAATATGGTATAACAGAATCTCGGGCGTCAATATCTATACGATTAAATTTAAAAATAAAAAATTGTAAATTAAAAATTTAAAATACTAAAATCATTTAAATAAATTTATTTAAATTTATCCGTGACAAAAATGGTTTTAGTTTCCCCCAGGACTCTTTTAAAGGACAACACTGAATTGGAATTAGTGATACAGAGAGGAAGACTCGCGACAACGCATGTCCGTTGAGTAAAGGATTTATTAAAGGTTTGCTCACTAACAACAACAATTCAAACACTAAAACCAAAGCATAAATACACATATACCAACAGTAGTCCATAAAAGTAAATATACACGTGAACTAACCCAAATATGGAACAGATTCTGATTTTGCACTAGCCTGGCTGTTATAACGGAAATTTAGTAGCTTAGCCGCCACAAATTTAAGAACAGGACACTACACCGATTCATTCATGAAACCCAAAAATCCAGAAGAAGCTATGTCACCTTTAAATAGTGTCAAGTTTAGATGTGCCAGTTCTGTACAGTTCGTTAGTCAACCGTTAACAGGAAGATGTTGAACATTGAATTAGGAAATCCATCAAGAGATTTATCAAAATTATTTCTTTTTAATTTCACGAAATTTCAGACCTAAATTGGTCGATTTTTACAAATTCGTGCGATGGCGATTACATGTTCTAGCTGGGAGATCGTGTTAAAAAAGTTAAAAGTGATGATTTCGACCTGGAAAACGAAGAATGAACTGTGCGGTCAAAACAATTTTAAGATGTGGAACTGGAGGCATTACTCGATGAAGATTGTTGCCAAACGCAAAACACGAATGCATTCAAAATCAAGGAAATCGAGTGCCATACTAATAGAAGCCAAAAGACGTTGAAAGACGATTTCGCATATCAGAAAAGCTGCTAAAATGCTACAGAAAAAAGTCGTGTTTGCATCAATGTATTACGATAACCCTAAAAGCAAAAATCATATGTGAAACCTGGCTAACCAGCCAAATGAGCGGCAAACGAATATCCATGACAGAAAGGTAAAGGTCTAAAACCTGGTGAAATCATTAATGGGGAACGTCACCGACAACAACTCAGCAAAACGAGGCGTGCGATTTTCGAAACCAGGCAATAACTTACAAGTAAAAGTATTATCAAAACAACGCTCGACCTCATCTAACAATACCTGTTAAAAACTATTTGAAAAATTGCGGCTGTGAAGTTTTGCCTCCGCCGCCTCAGACTATGTTCCTTCGACTATCATTTGTTCCGGCCGAGGCAGAACGCCCCCACGAAGTTAGGTACTTTTTTCAATAGCCTTTTTCTGACAAATCACGCGTGAGTCGTGTCAAGCTGTCATGTAATCTTTGTTCAGTATTGTCTGGCATTTCATCATGGAAAAACTTACGCTTG